ATCTCTTGGAAAGCTGTTCGTTGTCATCAGGAAAATTTCACTGTCTCCAGGATAATAATATGCATCTCCAAGGCCATTGATCACCTCTTTCCATCAGATGTTTGACTCATGTCAAACATCTGATGGAGCATTATTAACAGAGTATCCACAGCTCACTGGAGATCTTGCTGTAATAGGAAGCAGGAATAATCTTGAGGAACAGGAGGAAGAGCCACAACCAAGGCAATGGTCAGACAAAAGAAATCTGAGTCCGAGGCAGAAATGTAATTGGAGAAAGTGTCTCAGACATGACCCTCCCTAGTTCTCATGAAGAGGGAGGGAGGGAGGGAGGGAGAGGCGCATTTAGACTTGCAAGATTATGTTACTGTAACCTTATAAAAAAGTAGTATTAGCATTCATAACTCTGGCATCCTAGTCTGGTCTACCTTAAAGGGCTGACATCATGAGAACTAGGGAGGGTCATGTCTGAGACACTTACTCAAATTGCATTTCTACCCCCGACCCAGATTTCTTTTCTCTGACCGTTGTCTTGGTTGCGGCTCTTCCTCCTCTTCCTCAAGGTTATTCCTACTGCCCATCTGCCAGCCCTCTCAGGTAAACCAGACAGGAAACATGATCAGATGAGCTAATTCTACTTTATTGTAAGGCTTCGTTAACAGAATCTTGCAAGTCTGAAAGTACAAATCTCCCACCATCACTTTTAACAGCCTGATGCATTGGGGTGGATCCTTTTTAAGTTTCTTTCTTTTTTCCGTTAGGCAACTGTGGGCTCCTCCCCCTTTTATCTGATCATTCCCTAGGCAGCATTTCTTCCCCTCATCCCTCAAAGTCATTCCCACATCCATTACTTCATCACTTGCTGGATGCAGGGAAAAGGGGTGGGTGGGAAAATACTCCAGGGCTGACCAAGTCATTCAAGCTCTTGAGTTCAGCAGTCTGAATCAGTAGCCATCTCTCTTTTGCTATAGCAAGTCTATCACCAGCATGTAAGTCTGTTGCATCCACAGTGGAGATCAATAAAGGTGAGAGGAAAGAAGTGGGACTCCAATGCAAGCTCTGCCCCTTTTGCACAAGTGCCCATCATAAGGCAGCTTCTGGCTCCTTGCCTTTTTTACCCCTTCCTCCGCAGAAACACCACTGTTGTGTGCCGTGTGCTGCAAGGGAGTGGTGCTGACACCTTCCAACATTTCACAAACCAAAATAAGAGTTGTCATTTGCAGGAGTGGCCCAGGTTTTGCGGATTGGGGGAAAAAAAATTGTGCCTGCCCTCCATTCTGCATATGGAAGTCAACCAGAGTTGCTTTTGTGTCTTTTTTCTTTTTTTATAGTAATTTTATTAAACATTACGATTAAAAAGACAAAAACTAACACAAACTAAAAAAAATAAAAGAATTAAAAGAAAAAATAGAAAGGGAAGAAAAGAAAAAAAAGAAAAGTAGAAAAGATAGAAAAAAATAAGAATATAGTAAAGAAAAAGAAAAGTATATAAAGAAATTACTTCCCCCTAAGCAATTAGAAAAGGAAATATGTGAACCCAGTGTCCTTAAAGGCACTGACCATGGTTTGAGCAAGATGACTATCCCTTTGTCTCCCAAAGTTCTAGACCCACCAGAGACTGCTGTCTTCCTTGTGAGGAACAACTGTCTGGAGCACTTGTGGGTAATCTCAAGTTCTCTCCTTGTCTGGAGAAGAATTACAAAGAGCTGGTCTACTTGCCGGCTCTTCATTCTGCCATGGTCATCAGCTCTGCTTTTAGTGAAGCCATCTTCTGTTTGCCATTTCTTCCCCAGAAGTTTTTTTTATGTCTTTTTTCAACCCAGATGAAGAGACAGCACCTTCCACTCTACCTGAGAGCAACAGTGTAGTTGGGCAGGAGGCATAGGGCCATATTTCCAAAAGAAAGTAACAAGGGTGTTCAGAAGGCATGGCTGAAATATTTGCTTTGGTCTGATCACTTCCTCATGACTGCATTAACGTGCATTCTTCCCATCCATTGGTATATTGTCTAGAATGAATAAAGGCACTTCAAATTTATGTTGGAAATGTGAACAAGAAGGGACGTTTTATCATGCTTGGTGGACATGTAAAAAAAAAAAAAGCTAGAAAATTCTGGATTCAAATACTTACACTGATTCAGAGGATTTTAAAGATTAGTATACAATTGAGACCAGAGGTTTTTTCTTTTGGGATTGATGGACAAACAGTTGGGAAAAAGTCATGGAACTTTGTTTTCGTACATGGCAACTGCAGCGAGATTATTGCATACACAAAGATGGAAAAATTCAGCATTGCCCCCAGTGGAGGAATGGCTGGTGAAGGTGATGGAACTTGCTGAGATGGATAAATTGACGTCTTTGATCAGCAAAAAGACAAACCCCTTATAGACTCTTTGGGTGAAAACAGAAAACAATGAACTTATGATTTATGGTTTGATGCTTAGACAGGATAGATTATAGAAAGAAGAGAGCTATGTTGTAGCCATAGAGTAAGAGGTAAATTTATAATTGTACTTATAACTGCTGTAAAGAAAATCGGGACCTACTTCTTTGTATCTTTCTTTCTTTTCGATTTTTTCCCCCCTTTCTTGCATTTTTAGCTTTCTCTTTGATTTCTTTTTTCTTTTCTATTTCTTTATATTAGTTTGTATAAGTTTTTATCTTCCTTTTTAAAAAACCTTTAATAAAAATTATATATATATATATAA